ACACACATTATTAAAAGTTCAGTTGTTACTACAACTTTTGCTTACTTGATGTTTGAAAGTAAACACGAAGTCTTTTTCGTATAATCCGAATGTTACATTGCTTTAAAGTGGCAATATCTTCTTTTTGAACTTGAACGCCATCTTGATATCAATTTTTTTATTGAAGCTTATAGTGCAGAACAAGTAAAGTTGAAAAACAAAATTTAGATTTTGAATATACTCTATAGTTGCTTTCGTACAACGAAATCGCCTTTCTCAACTCATCTCTTTCTTCCCATTCCATCTGTTTCCATGACGATGGCATCTTGAAACTACTATTGATTATGAAATTGCTTGCGGCCTACGTCACGGATGTCAATTTAAATCAATTTTGACAAGTAGTTTGTATAGTCAACTTGAAAGCAAATTCTTAATCGTGTAACTGCAGCGTAGATCAAAACTAATCAATCTTAATACTTATGTACTCTTTCGCATAAAGTAACTTAATTGTATTGTTTTAATTTGAAATACTCTGTCAAACTGCAAATGAAATTATTTGTAATTGATAAAGCTAAACCAGATTTTAGTTATTCTGAATTAGAATTATTTTAACTTTAATTAGATCGAATCAAGTAATATTGCATACATTTCAGTCAATTGTTTTGTCAAATTAAACAGAAAATAAATGAAATGTTCCTGAAAAATGCCATCCTTAAATACACCAGCAAAAATGCAGTGAAAATGATTTTAGCATTGGCGCAATGTAAAAAGGTTCAATAATAGCATTTTGTTCAAAAAGGAAATTCCCGGAACTAAATATTGCATCGACTTATTTTAACATTTCACACAATTCCTTAGTTTGTTTTACTGTTTCTAACTTTTTAGTTTCGGAGTTTTTATCCCCGTTTACAACAAGTTTTTCAATTTATTTTTTTGTTGTAACCTTGTTTTTTTTATGTATTTGTACAAAATAATTTATTATAAATATGTAGATTAAAATTATTAAAAATATTTTATTTTTTTAAATTTTTTATTAATATTTTTTTCGAAATAAACTGTTCGCATGTTCAAATCAAAAATTATGGAATTAGAGATTACACGTCTTTACCGTTACCTTTTGAAGTTTTGGCCGTGACCGATATGACTTCATAGTTTTTGAAGAAAATGCGAGCAAAACAATGAAACCAGAAAAACTGGTCGAAACGTACGAGTTTTTTTATTATAATTACAAGTGACAAATAAATTGAAGACATTTGCAGTGTTGTAAACTGCGCAATATGCATTATGCAACCAATTCGAAAAGGTAAATCCGCCATATTTATCAAAATAAAAAGTTCGAAAATGCAACTGTGTCACAGCTTCTGAACAAAAACGTGCAGAAAGCAAGAAAAAAGCGGTTACTGAAAAAATTACGTAAGTAAAATTCAATTTGGAAGAGCTGCTATGTCATTTTAGGTAATTATTTTTTTATACTGTCACGAAACTATTTTTTATGTAAATTGTACTTTTTTAAAATTTCTCAGAATAGACGACGAAGAAGTTGTGTCAAACACGCTTGCTTGTCCGAGTCCGCCTAGACATAGAAGTTGAATTTAGTGCTGACCGAAAAAAAGTCATTTCAATGGGGTCAGGTACATACATACATACTATAAGAAATAAAAAATGTTCAACTCGAGTTCATCCAAACAAGGGAAAATATTTCCGTGAAGTTTTTAGATTTTCTGACTATTTATAAGAAAATAAAACAGAAATAATTTGACTCCGAGCAACACAACTGCTTGGTCACTCTATGTCCAATTCGACGAGATATACGATTTATAAGAAGCAGGCATGTCATGAGGAAGTTATGGAACTTAAACACCAAAAAATCGAAATTGAGCAGCAACGAATTCAAATGACAATCGATTTAAAATTAGTTTTACAAACTAAAAATAACTAAACTTTTCACCCAATTTTAAGATTTGCAAAAAATGCACATGTACAAAAACAATACAAACTTTGAAATATTGATCTCCAAGCTTAATAATTGTACTTATGAATTGTTTTTTTTATATATACAAGGTGGGTTCCAAAGTAAAGAGGACTTTAAAAAAAAAAGACAGAACAAATGATTTTATCGGCAAAATCAATTAATTTTATTCAAAATAATCTCTTTCTGCTTTAATACAGCTTTTTGCATGGTCCAAAAGCATGTCGAACGAGTGTTTTAGCTCGTTGCCCGGTATGGCCGCCAGTATGTCGGTGCAAGCCTCCACGTCTGCATAACGCTTTCCTTTCATCGGCAAATGCATTTTTCCGAAAAGGTAGAAGTGGCACGGTGCCGTATCAGGTGAATACGGGGAGTGGTTGATTGTTAAAATGTGATTTTTGGTCAAATAATCGGCCACAAGCGTCGATCGATGAGACGGCGCATTATCGTGCAACAAACGCCAACTTCCATCTTCGCGATATTCGGGCCGAACACGTCGAATACGGCACACCAAACGCTTCAAAACTCAAAGGTAGAATACCGCATTAAAGTTTTGGCCGGCTGGGTCAAATTCTTTGTGGACAATACACTTGGAATCAAAACAAAAAAAAAATCAGCATTGTCTTCACTTTTGACTTCTCCAGGCGCGATTTTTTGGGTTCATGTTCATCGTCATTTATGTCCTCACGACCACTTTGAAAACGTTGAAACCACTCGTGCACTCTGCTACTGGATACTTGTTTCATCAATTGAAACGTTTCGGTAAAAGTTGTACCAATTTTAAAACAAAATTTAATGTTGGCTCTTTGTTCGAAGCTCATTTTCGCACCGATGACAAAAACATACTGACACTTAAAACGCAATAACTTCACTTTCAATAAATGATATGTCATGGAATTTTTGCTGGAGGGCGATAAAGGATAGCAGACTCCAACGCACTAGTCGACATATAGATGGCGCCACTAGAGTTTACTTTGTTACTTTTTTACTGTTTACTTAGAACGCACCTTATAGTATATAAAAGAGACGTCATCCGGGTAATTTTGTACGATTTTGAAGTAGTTCGCTACTTTTGGAAACAACAACAGCCATCAATAACTTTCTCACTTTTAAACGTTTAATCCTCTTTTCGTGACTCCGTGCCATGAAGCGTTCGCTTTGGTTTTCCAGCTTTTCAACAATTCCACTGATTGCACGTTCGTTAATGAAAAATTTTCAAAGCGCAACATTTAATTAGTTTTATTTAAGAGCATCACCCAATTTAACATTAGCAGTGACCACTGCACATAATTGCCAGAATTGTCTGTATTACTGAAAATTTGGTTGATAAAGCTTGAGTGGTTTGGGAGATACACGCAATAAAATATTTAGGGGGCGGGACCACGCCCACTTTTTCAAATATTTTCAAACCAGATGCCCATCCTTAATACGAATCGTTGCGCCCAAATACAGTTTTGTATCTTAATTTTCGTCTTAGTTATGGCACTTCATAGGTTTTCGATTAATGAGGTTTTCTCTTCTTATTGTGTCAAAGAATATGTCTCGTCATCCTGATCATTTGCATATACATAACTCTATATCTATCTCGATTAGTTTTAGGATTTACCAAAAACTATTACTCTGTAGCAGCATGTTGTAGTTTAAAAACACTAAAAAAACACGCTTTAAAGCACTTCAAATTAAAAATGAAAAATAATATCTGACATAAACTGACAGTAATGTTGATCGCAAAAAAAAACAAGAAAAAACGTTAACTTCGGTTGCGCCGAAGCTATAATACCCTTCACAAAAACAAAGGCCCCTTACAAGAACTTGATTCCGAACGTTCAATTTGTATGACAGCTATATGATATAGTGATCTGATCTGACCAATTTCTGTGGAGAATAATTTGTTGCCTTAAGCAATAACTCGTGCCTAATTTCGTGAAGATATCTCGTCAAATAAAAAAATGTTCCATGCAAGCACTTTACTCCGATCGTTCAGTTAATATGGCAGCTATATGCTATAGTCATCCGATCCATACAATTTCTTCGGAGATTAGATTAATGCTTTAAATAATAATACATGCCAAATTTCACACAAGCACAAAGCACCCCACGTTTTTTTCACAATAATACAAGTATTCTCCGGTCAATATTTTATACTGATTGAATCCCGAATTTCAAAACTTCGACTAAAATGCAATTGAGTTGTAAACACTAATAGGGACATTAAACTAGAAATATGGAAATTGAATGCAACTAAATCTGATCATATTTTTCCAAAATTGTTGATTAAAATAATAATAAAATCATTATTATTAATTATGTGTACAAATATTTGTATATAATAAAAGAAATTACTGCTGTATGCATCGCAATCACAATCCCTCTCTTCATTCACTTCATTGGCAATTATGTTGTCAATAGATAAAAGTTTTTTTTTTAATTACTCAAGTATTTTCTCGTAATATTGTTCTATTCATCTAACTAAATTTTTTTCACCAAAAACTAATGAGTTAAGTTTGTTTTACGTTTTTGTTTACAATTTGTATGAAATACCTTCTATGCTTCTGTTCAGCATTATCTAGAGCTCGACGCAAAAATCTAGGAGCTTCGCAGTTCAAGAGACTAGATGAAGTATTAGAATTAGGTATAAAGTCGCTCTTAAGGTTCGCAAAAAGCGTTGACGTCCCATCGTACAGGATTATATAGCATCATAGCCACCCTATTTTTCGCAGAAATCAATTAATGCAGGAAATGTCTAATGTTAATAAGATCCATTCAAGCCATCTATCGGTTAAATCAACGGTTAATTGCCTTCAGCCTTACCAGAGGGTTCTGTCAAAGTTTCTAATAGTTTCTTTTTCATTCATTTAATTCAATTCAATGGTCAAGTTCAAGTGTATAAAGAATCAGTTAGTCTAAATCATTTTGAAAATTTTGCCAAATTTCCCCATTCGTTTAATAAGAACACACTGTTTTTGTGACAATTATAACATTCATTTTCGTGCCTCAATCACATTTTTCAGCTCTAGTAATAGCTCATAAGAAGAATACACACACAAGAATATACACATTTTTTAACATATTAATTTATTCGGAAATTATACATCAATAAGTACGTAAAATTAATTAAATGAAAAGAAAATACTTTGCGTGCTAAAATAATTTAAAGATTTCTTATTACAATAATTGAGAATGTAGGCAACGTGCTAGGCTACTAAGACGCTACAAGTCGGTCCACATATGTACGATCACAATAATATCTTCATATATATATAAATACAATTACATCGAGATCTTTTAATCAACTACAAAACTATTATTTTTACTTAATTCTTTGACCTTAATTTTTGTTTGCAATATTTCTGCAAAATAAGAAAAATACAAAACGAGCCAAGAACTTTCGTTATTTAGAGTATAACTTCTTTATTGAATGGAATAAATAATAACTTAAACAAATGAATAATTACGAATTAGTAACATATTTTATAACATACTTATTATGTATGCAGCGGTTCTTTTAAATTCGTTTATTCATATATATGTTGTCAAAATTTTTTAATTTATTTAATATTGACTGAAGTTGAAAAAAAGCAAAAAAATTGGATTTTGAATATACTCTAAAGTTGTTTTCGTACAACGAGTTTGCCTTTCTCAACTCATCTCTATCTTCCCATTCCTGTTGCCGACTATAGATGTGGACAGAGCTGCTCCAAACCAAACATTTTTTTTGTACAAGTAAGCCAGTGTTATATTTATAACAGATGATATAACTTTCACCATAGATAACAAAAACTTTTATTATTACTCGAAATATAACTTCAAGTAAAGTTTATGGGCAAAACTTAAAACTGATGAGAAAATAGAGATTAAAATTAATGTGACATATTCATTTCAAACGTATAAATTCTAATTTTTTTACAGAAAACATATAGCTGAACTGCTTTAATGTCCCTAGTCGTCAGCTGATGCAGGGTTGCATTTTCAGATTCCTAATTTTAAATAAATATTTTAAAAATTTTTAAATTTGAAATGATTTATTTATTACATATATTTTAATTTATATAATAATTGATTTCCTTTAAATTCTAAACAAAATGTGTAATGTACAACTTACATAATGAGTTTATTTAATTTAAGTTTTCATATAATTTTATTGCACTTTTTACACTTCCAATGCTCTATCAGAGAATGTAGATTATAGAGAAGGTTCACAGTGTGGCCATTATCAAAATATTTCACTTTTCGCAGGGGAACTGAAAACGATGAGCGTGTTTCACCACAGAAAATTATTGGCTTGTTTCGCCACAATTAACATCAGGGGACCGAAAAATAGCAGAATTGAGCATTTTCAGTGTTAATTGAAAAAAATTATGCTAATTCCAATGTTAAGAAATGTACGCTTGCAGGTACATGTCCATTGTCCATAAGTGTATGTATGTAATTAATAGACAATTGTTATCAAAGGACATAAGTATATACATGTGTACATGTGTTTAAATTGACCTATTTCATGAATCATGATCAATTCCATAAAATCTTTCGAAATGTACATACATATGTACATATAATAAAGTAAGGATTGCATTATTACTTTAATATTTAATTATTATAAATAGGTTTTATAAATAATATATTTATTTGCTTTAGTCATTTAAAGTTTTGATAACTTTTGAAAAGACCATGCAGTCGCACATATCCTCATACATATATAATTATGTGTGCATGTAAAGAAATAAGTTTGAAAGAATCATACGCATAATGTTTGTTAATTTGTTTACATACAATTTTGTAGAAATGAAAATGCGACAGTTCGGAGTAATGTTAATGTTAATATTAATGTTAGTGTAAATGTTAATGTTAATTCTCTCATTATTCTCTCTAAATTGCCAAAGTAGACTTGACGGACACAGCAGTACAACGAGCGAATATTTTATTATTGTCGGAAACATGGATAAACAATGAAGAAGTTGTGGATGTGCCGAACTTCGATTGTGTCATCCATTTCAAACGTCCCAATGTAAGACCTGGTGGGGTAGCTGTCTACCATAACTCTACTAGCAGAATAAATATTGTCCCTCCACATATGGATATGAATTTACAATAAAAAAGAACTGGTTGGCTGTGAATGCTGCTGCAGTTGGCGATATTTGTGCGACCGAATGTGCCATAGAAAGCGGACAGAGTGTGGCAATGATTGTTCTCTACATCACTCCGAATCAGAGAATTAACGATATAATAAAACTCATACGTAGAGCATTATTGGCATATACTCGCTCTAGTCCAGCAGAATTAGGAAAAGATCATTTACAATTTTACAATTTACAATCACGAGATTTCATTTCATATTTTTCATACCACAAACGAAATGGAATCTTTTCTTGAACATGAAAGTATGAAAATGATGAATAGATTTTTTATAAATGGAGGAAAACATCAACTATCTTTTTCCATTAACCTAACACCCTTAAAAATTTCAGAATAGTGAATAGTGGCTTCTGTTATCGGGGAAATACTTCTATCTTATAACACTTGCTGGCTAGGGTGAGTATTTTCATTTCAAGTGCCCATCGAGATCCATGAAGTTTCACTTCTATCGCCAAGCTTTCTAGGCTGTTTGGTTTTTTTAAATACTGCTTATGTTAGATATTATGATATGCTTTCATATAAGTATATATATTATATTTACACTATATACATAAGTATATAACATACTATCATATCCTAAAAATCTTAACATATTAAAATAGTAATATATGTAAATCACACCTTTCATCATTTGAAGCTTACATTCACATCTATCAAGTAATGCATACAAATGTATGTATGTAAGTAGAGTTCATACGGTGTTTCGACATACACTTGAGGATTAGCTTCATTCCAAATGCGGCAGTTTTGTTTGTTGATGTAGCCATTCAACCAGAAGTGCGCTTCATCATAAAGTGAACGTAGTGCGCGATACGTATTCCGCACGGAACCATTATTTTCGAAATAAAATTGCACTATTTGCAAGTGTTTTTCAGGCTTCAGTCTATTCATGATGAATTTCCAAATCAAATTGAGAATAAATTACTTGACAGCTGTTAATAGCTGCCATCTTGAACAGTAATGCCAACTTAAAATTCTATACCTCGAAAAAAACACCCGTTATAAACATACATATTTACGATGGTTTATAGGCAAAGCTGTTAGAGCGGAAAGGGAAGCGATTACAATCAGCGGCTCTTCGTTAGTTTTTGTTCGGAACATCTCGGATTTTCTACTGAGAACACAATGTTGAGCCGCTTTGTCGTCGCGTCAGTCCTTCGACACAGTGACTCTTTGACATGAAAGTAAAAAACATGAGCTTCGGCCATTAGTATGTAAACAAGTAAACAAATATTATGCGTATGGTTCTTTCGGTGTTTTTGACAAACGGTCACTGACTCTGAGCACTGAAACTGTTACTCCGTTAAGATGCTATGCGAAATACGAAGAACAGCGGTTGATAACGATATTGATAACATTTCCCTCGTTGCTGCTTTTGCTACACTTGAGGTTGATTCCATTTCGTCCTTCCATGTCGTGGATTTTATTGTTAGCTTCCTTCTTGCTGACAGGTCATTCCGACGATTTTTCCATTAGAAAATCTGGGCTAGAGGACCAAATTTAACCTAAAAGATCTTGAGCGCTGCATCTACGTGAAGCAATGTCTGCAGGATTTTGCGTACTTGGTTCAAGTTTCCAGTTAATGCCAGCTGAAATTACCTGAATTTCAGAGACTTGATTGGCAACAAAGCAATTTAATGTGGCCGAATGAGTGTTGAGCCACTTCAGCACTATTTCTGAGTCAGTCCAAATATATATGTTAGTTAATAACATTCATACGCGCGCGTTGATGCGTCTGCGAAACCATGAAATTCAGAATTTGAATTGAATGTTGTTTGTACATGGCGGGGAACTTCGCTTATATTAATGAACTTTAAATCGGCTTTAATCTGCACCCAAATGTTATGTAGATCGAGTGGAAGATATCCAATATTTTGGAGATAATAATTAAAGCAGATCGCTTAGTGACTGACTGCATATCTGGTAACCCATAGCGATAACAAAGGGTGTCAGCTAAAGGATTCCACGACGTAACTAAAGCTTTGGTAGTATTGTTTTAATTATGACTACATTATAAGATGCGTCAGATAATTGTGTAGATTTCGAGTACCATTTAGTAAGAGAAAGACCATGAGAACGAAGAACCTCTATAAGTGCACCAGTTAACTAATCATCAACATAAAAGCTTTGACGAATAGCAGACGATGCTAGTGAAAAGGTAAATATGAAATAAACTGCGAATGGCGCGGAATGTGAGTAATATTGTAGACGAAACCTTAAATGGTAACCGAACTTGTACACGTCCATCACTTCTTACTTGAACGTTTTGAATGAAATGTTGTTCGCCCAAATGTTCCTCTTCGGACAATGTTGCTGTCTTTACAGTGAAATTTTCAGTTTTCCAGAAGCATTGAAGATTCGAATCCATAGTACTTGGAGATAGATTTGAGTTTAGTTTGACATTACAAATAAATGGGCGGGAATTTGAAAGCGTTTCAAAATTACTACCTACAATCCAACCTAGTTTGCTGTTACGAAGGCGTGGCAAACCTTTACGAAATTAAATTAAGCCTTCTTGAATTTTGATCTATATGTTGCGGTTTGTAGAAGTATGGTGCATAAGGTTTTCCGGAATATCCCATTTAGAAGTATTGATAAAACTACTAGGAATTTGTCTTGTCATCTGTTTAGTTAAAGCGAATTGCAACACGAAAGAAAAATATAATACAAGATTTGAATTTCGCATTTACTGCATACTTTGAATTAGAATGAATATCTGAAATACCTGAAATTTCCTGATGAGAGAAAATCCCTTTAAGCGGCAACCGTCTCCCTCTAGGTTCTAACTTTTGTGCAAATGGATAATTCGTAGCTCCAACGGTGGCGAAATGTAGGTGAGAGTGGTGCGATTAATGACATACTTATATGGCAACGAGATTTCAATGGGCATTTAAATACTGTGTGTCCTTTGCGTAAGCAATTGCCTCACCCAATCAAAACGCATCTTAGCTGATAATTGTAGAAATGAAGGGCAATTGGTTAGGCTATGTTCTGCATTATTGCAATGTACACATCGAGTTAACGAATGAATTTGCATTTTTCCTACCGAGTAGCTTACTATCTGGCTGTTTTACCTTTGAGGTTTCCCCGTTTGAACAAATTTCTAAATACTGACAGTGCCGATTTAAACCCACGATGGGTGGTAGTCAACCTCTTGTTTTTGATCATATGCCCATTTTGAATCAGAATCAGTTTTAATTAAGACGACATGAACTAGCATTGAATTCATCAAGTCGCTTTCTGAGCCGAACGAGAGTAACGAACCTCGCAGCGCTGCAACAGTGTCGATAATATTGCGTAGTCTTACTGCGTTAGATCTTTTCATAACTGGAGTGTTTAATTCTATACACAATTTGCGTAGGAGCACACACCAGTGATTCAACACTAACACTCGATTCAATATAAAATAAAAGTAAGTGGCTCGGTAAATCAATAATTTTAGTTAATTCCGCATTTACCAACAATATATTTTACATAAACGAAATTAAATATATAATACTTGTATAATAATTTGAGGATGGAATCGAACGCAGTGGGGGTCGTATTGAATTGATGCGGTAGCGAGCAGTCACTGTTGTCTGAACGAATTATTTTAGCGAATGTTATAATGTGGCGCTCAGCCCCGTGGACGATAAGCGAAATGAAGTTGTGAGGGCGATGATCCCGTCCTTTTTGTTAAGTGTACAGGTGCCGTGTTATGGTGTGTTGTGTTGTCCTGTGTGGTGTGGTTTCATCGAGTGGTGAGAACCTGTGAATGTTCTCTGGTGTGGTGTGTTGCATTAGGGTGCGCCAGTTGTTACCGGAGAGAGTGGTGGTACTGAGGCTTAGCATAAGGAGCAAGGCTCGAGGCGGTGGCCAAATCGGATCTCCCGATGCGGCCTCGGGCTCGGGTCTGGCTTCCGGCCGAACCTTCTACCCCGACCGAAATTGAGGAAATGTTGCGGTACTGCGACCCATCTCTCCCCACCCAAGACTGGAGGGTGATCAGGCTGGAGAGGACCGAGGCACCATACCGGCAAGCGCTGATACTCCTAAACAAGGAGTCCCTCCCTCCTCTCAGTGTCACAAAGGGGCCCATAAGCCATGGCTTCGAGAGGGTCGTTCTCAAGACGCTCCCAACAGAAGCCAGGGCGGATGGCCCGCTGCCTCCTGCGGGGGCGGAAGAGAGTGGGAAAGTTCCCCTCTCGAAAATGGATGTCGACCCTGTCCTCTCGGACGCGGTGAGCACGGGGGCCGGATCGTCAGGTGATGATGAATCCGTCTTCAGTCTCGAGCATCTGTTCGAGGAGGCTGGCTTCGATGTTATGGACGATGGTGCGGAACTCGCACTGCTGGAGAGGAGTTTGGGGGATGAAGATCCTCCAAATTAACCTCCAGCACTCAAAGCCGGCCTCCGC